AAAGAATTGCTGTATCCATCCATCCATTTTCTGACACACTTAATCCCAAGCAGGGTCGCAAGGGGTGCTGGTGCCTATGTCCAGCTGTCTACGGGCAAGAGGCAGGGTACACCCTGGACAGGTCGCCAGTCCATCACAGGGCAACACAGAGACAAACAACCATTCACGCACACACGCACACTTAAGGAGAATTTAGAGAAGCCAATTAAATAAACAATCATGTTTTTTTGGACTGTGGGAGAAAGCCGGAGAACCCTGGGAAAACCCTTACATGCCCAGAGAGAACATGCAAACTCTATGCAGAAAGACCTGGGCCGGGAATCGAACCCGCAATCTTCTTGCTGCAAGGCAGCAGTGCTACCCACTGTGTCACATATGAAAATTCAGTGGTGTCAATGCAAATGGCCTCAAATTTGACCAGGTTACTGAGCAGTCCGAGTTGCTGTATCAAAAAAAGATAAATGATAATTAAAAAGAAAAAAACAAGAATAAACTACCAAACATTATTGTCCCTACTATCTGTACTAAATATACATTATTGATCACTCACTGGGATTAACTTTACAGCAGATGTTTGCTTAACCAATCCACACAGACAACCAAATTAGTACAAAAAAGTGGAACAATACAGAGAATTAATGTACAGACTTAATCAATTTAATTTATTAACTTTGTTTATCACCCTTATTTTCTTAATCATTTGTTGGGAATTGGTACAACATGAATAAATTGAACTGAAATAGTTTGTTCTTTCTGGAGAAAATAACGAATAAACTGCTCAGGAAGGACTTCGTCCTATTTTCCCACGCAATGCCTCTAATTCGGAGGTCTTCAACAGGGGGTCCGTGACCCATAGGGGGTCCACGGAGGTACTGCATGGGGGTCGTGAAAGTTTTGGTTGATTAGACTTTTTCCCCACCAATTGAAACGTCTTTAAATCCACATCAACATGAATTCAACACACTGTAGTAAACAGATAAATGGCGGCAGAAGATGTCTTTCAGTCATCAATGCACACATTCAGCGACACACAGGAGATCTTTCAAGCTGGGCACCGTTTCATTCACAACACCTGTCCCATCAACCAGGAATCAGAAATACTTTAATAATCCCAGGGAGAAATTACTTTCGTTACATTACCCCTTTTGTAATAGAGTGACCATAGGACCAGTTTGATAGAACACTATTTCATGAAATATATATAATTAGGGGGTCCCCGCTCCATCTCGCCATCAGTTTGGGGGTCCTTGGCCTGGAAAACGTTGAAGACCTCTGCTCTAATCTACTGTTCTTTCTATAAACCTTTAGCTAGATTCAAGTCTGGGTGAGACTGGAAAATCCTAAAAGCTTTCTTTTCTTTCTAAAGTCAGTTATACAAAGTCTGCCGGTACCATATGCTGTACAGCAGCCCCTCACCATCATGTTCTCCCTTCTCTGAAATGTGTACGATATAATCCAAAGTTTAGCTTTGTTCTTATTTTACCAGACGATACTTTCTATATCATCGGCTTGTTTAAATGCTCCACAGTAGACATCAAAAGAACTCCAGCTTGATTTTTCTTTTTTCTGTCATGATGTCTGAGCAGCAAATAATTGTACCTGCTGATTCTAGGTGCATCTAAAACATTTTATTAGAGTTTCTTGGCCCTTTAAAATCTCTTCGGAATTTTTTTTCAACAGTTTTGTTTGATAAATTGTGATAGAAACCTGATTTTAGCTGAATTACAATAAAATCAGGTTCACTTTGGCTCAGCATTAGGGCTCGCTGGACCATTTAAACATGTATAAATCCACCTGTAACCGATGGTGTCATCTATCACAATAATAAGACTGTGGCTCTAGAGTGAGCTCCATGCTGTTTCTGATCATGCTAATGTGAAACCCATTTAGAAATGGATTTACTGAGAAAAACATTCTTGTGTTCAACATAATTTCCCCCACTGTGTTAAAGGCAAGTGCATTAAATGATTAAGTGCCTGCCAGTGTGTTTTAACCAACTAAATAATATATCTCATGCTTTGTTGAACAGAGAGACAAGTATTGATGATATTGAGGCTGTTGCTTAAGTGACAATGTCAGAGGCTGGTCTTTTATTCATTATTATTAATTAAGGTTAAACTAAAATAACTAATAATGTTCATAAAAATGCATTCCATATTTTCACTCAAAAATAATGTGGAATTTCCAGTACTATTTTAAATAATTGTAAGATTTCTTTGTTTAGATAATAATAATTTTGTGTATTTGATGTCCTTTTGTTTCAACGGTAATCTAAAGAAATAATACGTCATAAAACAGAAATAGTATTTAAACATTGTAGTAGTTGATTGATTTACTTAACGATATATATTTTTTAACTACCCATCCCATTTCAAAATGTGAATTATCTTACTAATATTTTAAATTCAGTCTTGTCTCTTATTTTGCTTTAATAATAAAAGTAAAAACAACCCTAGCAGCAGCATTTTAGATGCGTCTGTATCTGATCAGGCTCCATCTGCCTCTTTGCTTCCAGCCTCCTCTTAGAGTCCTGAGGCCTCTCACAAGATCCAGGAGTTCTCTTCCTTCAAACAATGAAGCCATGTGAAGCCACCCTCCTTCAGCTGCCTTTGCTGCAAACAAGTAAAAAGTGAAAATACTGAATGGCAAGAAGCTCTACGACTGAAGCAGCCCTGCTTTGGAACGCCGTATTACCAAAGTGACCTAAGAAGATCCCTAATTTACAGCATATTCCTTAGTGGTTCATAATGTTAAGAAAAAACAGGTTTTGGTCAGATTGACACTTTGCATTTAAATATGTATTTATGTACAGTATGTGTACTTTATCTCATGCTTTGGTTGTTTTTTTATATATCAGAGGTTGCCGCATGTGTGTTCCTCATCATTGGTCTTAGTGTTTATGAAGCAGAATGTACTTTAGAGGAGATAGAGAAGGATCCGCGCACTGAAAGGAGAGCTGAGGCTGTGCTTTTTGTTTTGATTATTTTGTGATTCACAAAATTAACAGTCAACACTTTCTTCGTCCACATTTACCTCTCTCTCTCTTTCTCTGTTGGCCTTAAATGAAGCGGACACCCAAAATGACTTGCACTATGTTCTTCATTTGCATCACTGCCCTCCAACAAAGCAGTGGCTACGTTTTAATGGAACGCCTAATTTTGTAAGGGTTTATTTCTGCCTGTAAGGTCATGAGCGGATGTCACAAATGCATCACTACAATCAGACTTCATATTTTAAAAATCCTTTAGAAACTTAAGGTTAAAAATTGCTAAATGATGCTAATTCTTTTATTTTCAGCATTTTGAAACCAATGTTAGCTGAGCAGCTGCCCGTGCTTTCGTTGTTCCTCCTGAGGGCCGGTAGTGACAACAACAGCTCACACTGATGTCTTTTTCTTGAACGTTATTCACTGAGCCTGAACCTGGTTTTCACTGTGTTGATGTGCAGTAATTGTACATGGTTGCATCTTTTATCTCTTACAGTGGTTACAGTAAAAAAAACAACGACAAAAAAAGCTTCTCAGGTACAACTGTTCTGTTTACATGCATTCACTCTGATATTGTAGATATACTTATTATGCACATTTTAGTGTTTTTTTCAGTGGATTGAATAGTGGAAAAGAGACAGGTTGTTTCTAATTATGTATCAGTGGTGTCAGTGTTAGTGTTGGAGGTGATTTCCATACATTAAAGCTTCCTGCATGATCTTAATTTCTATGGACGATTTTATGTGAAGCTGCTCTCGTTTAGTTTCTGTTTAGATACATTCAATAAGGTTTTTTTGGTTGTATTAGAGAGAATTTTCCTTCCTCTGACATTTAGAGTCATGTGAATAAAAAAGAACACCCTGAAAAGTGTTAAAAAGAAGTCACACGCTACCCATTATTAGCTGGTTTTATGCCCCTTGGATTAAATTACCTTGTTTTCATTTATTTCTAACATCAGTTGGAAAAAAAATCCCCTTCAGCTGTGAGACGTTTTAGGGATCTCCTCTCTTGCATCTTGATTCTGTTTTAGATAATCTCACTGAAATCAGGATCTGGGCTTTGACTGGGTCCAGGAGTTTCAATTTCTTAGCTTTCCTTAAGTTCTTTGTGAAATTTTCTTCTGAATCATTTCATATAACCGGCTCCAAAGAGGGTCTTATATCTGAAACATGGTTCAGTTCATGGCCCATTACATAATGGTGAGCTGGAGTACACCATCCAAAATGTCACTGCCACCCCCAGAATTCCTAGCTCAGATGAGTTTGTGGTTCTTCCTGGAAGGCTGCTTTTGGTTTACCTCCAAAAAGTTCTCTCTTTCCTCTCTATGTCCACGTAGTTTATATTTAGACTCCTTTTTCCAGAGAACATCACTCCAGAAGTCCTGTTCTTTGTCTACATTCTCTCTGCCAAACATTGGCGTGGCCTCTGTGCTTTTTTATTAGAGAGCAAAGGTTTCTTCTCTGCAAACATTTCCTTACAAAGATGCACTTTCATATAAACGGTAACGAGCACCTGCTGTAGGTCCTGTGAGGATTTTTCAAGACATCTTAGGCTGCTCTAAGTCTATCCTGCTTCATTAATAAAACCTAAACATGTAGCATTTTTAGGCTTTCGTCCACTTGCCTGTTTTCCAGAGAGTGGGGTGGGTGATTTGATCAATTTAAGACATCCTACTCCCTTACTGGATGCATTAAGTGCTATTCTTCTTTGAGAAGCCCTTACAGTTCTTTGTTTTTTATTATGGAGATCATTCTTTCTTCAGCAGCCAGGAACGCCTCATTAAAGATCTGAGGTTCAAAGATAGTAAACTTTCAATCTATCATTTAAGATTTATTTTGTATTTATTCAACATTTGTAAAACAGTTAATCAAATATGTAGATGTCCAGAAATGTTAGGGAACACATGCAGGGTGTCTGAGGTCATTCACATGACTGTAAACCAACCCCAGTCCTTCAATTTTTTCTGGCAGGCCAGAATATATATATTTTTTAGTTTCTAATAGCGTGTGGCTAAAATATAAAGCAGAGGTGTGAAGAAATGTTGGTTTATGACTTCAAACTTCACAAAAATCAACTATAATAAAAAAATATAGATGAAGACTTAAAGTTTCGTGTTTTCTGTCTCCTTTTCTATAAAGAAAAAAAATTCTCTTTACATTTAGTTTATTTATGACAACAATACAGATGTTTGACTTTATTACATGTTATTCAGCATCAGTAGATTATTCAGAGGTTGACACGGTCGTGGTACTTCAGATATGGATCATTAAGGAACCAGTTTCTTCTTTTCCAGAAAGACGTGGTCATTTTATCCAAGAGTTTGCTCTGAGTCTTGTTACAGAAAACCATTTCCCTCAGACGCTTTCGTCTGGCAGGCAGCTTCTTCCACAGCTTTTTCTTGTACCCAGCCTGTTCAGAGAGCAAACACTCGTTAGATGTAAATAAAACAGAAACCAGAGATTCTGAAAGGTAAAAAAAAAAAAAAAGGCACACCTTCCGTCTGATCCAAAGGCCACAGTGCAACCGCATAAAACGGTCGGTCACCGCTTTTACTGTTTTCCTCTTTCCTTTCTTCACGCTGAAATAGGTCAGGTTTCTACAGGGCTGCCAGGTCAGGCTGGGAACCAGAGCAGCAACCCTGAAACAGACAAAAACAGCTCTGATATGTAAGTGATTAAATAAATAAGTAAAATCTTAATTTAAATGCAGATTACAACTTTGTTTTAAGAAATGAAGAGGCTCCTCTGGGATGTGGAGGAATAAAAGGAGACAAGCAGAAGAATGCAGCTGCAGATTTACTGGCCCATCCAGCTTCAAACTTCACACCGAACGTAGCAGGAGCAGCAAAAACGCGTCTGCTGCTTCCCTTTTGCTGCTTGTACCAGTTTAGTTCTGACGTGCGGCTGAAGCAGCTTTGCTGCTCTGGCTGCGCGGCAGGGCCAAGCTCAATTCGTGGCAGTGGCTGCGTTGTGGCAGTTCCGGCGGCTCGTTGACTCGTGACATGACGCAGCTTTAGTATGGCGTATCACTGGCTGCAGCCACTAACTCATTTTCATTATTATCATTTAGTTTATTTATTTTTTTGTATTTTTCTTGCCGTTTTTCTGCAAATGTCTTATTTATAGCTCTAAGTAGATTGTTTTTTGTTTTAGTTTTTTAATATTGTGATGTTATTGCTTAATAACCTGCATTAAAACTTTTATAATGTCACATTTACTTGATGGAACGAAGTAGCTTATCTGCCTATAAGTGGCCTCCACCATCAGCCACTATGCAGCCACTCCGGTGGCAGGCTTTGTCGGCAAGAATCAAATATAGCCTATAGTGGCCGCTGAAACTGTGCGTCCCCTCCTCCACGTCTTTGCCGGTTTGACCCAAAACCTGCATTCCTAACTCAAGATGAGCTAACTTCCTGTTCTTATTAGGTGATTCTTAAGTTATTTTTATAAAAATAATGCTTTGTTCTTAAACATTAGTTCCTCAGTAGGCACACAATATTAAGAAAGAGATATGGCTGTTTATAGGGGGCGCAGTTGAGTCAAAATACAATGTCATCAGACAGAGCACTTCACAGGGTGTCAAAGATCATTCATATGCAGTTTGGGGGAAATCTGATCACTTTATTGTAATCCAGAGTCAAATGAATCAGGGTGACGAGCTGCAGACTCAAATATCTAGATGCTAGAAGGCTAAACAAAGTTAGACCAACACGTGATCTGTGTTTTGACCAAGTTTCAAGTTGGTGAGGGCAAAGGGGTTCAAATAATGAGTATTTTAAGATCCAGCAACTGTTGTTTCAAACGTGTTTAAGGGCCACACTTGGATTTATGAGCAGAGTCATGCTGGTCAGACTGGAAGAGCTCAAGAGGTGTGAAAGGTCGCTCTCACTTGGTGTGTGAATAAAACAGACTTTCAGCTGCTTCAATTTACTGTTGCTTTGATTAACACAACCCACCATTCCATCATTCGGACTATTCTGGGAACTTGTAGTTGGGAGAAATTGGAGCGCCGACACCCACACATCGAGTGCCCAAACTACCAGATGAGAAACACTGCCCACATTTTAGCAGCTTATGACAGTTATTGCCTCATTACAGGCAGACTTCACTCTCCTGAGTAGGGCTGAAACAATCAGTTTGAGTCAATTAATTAAGCCATCAAATAATCATTAGCTAGAGTTAAAGTTACGAGCTTTATTATAAACCCCAGCATGAAAAAGTAATGGTTTTAAGACTGCTGAAGCTCTTCTCTAATAAATCTTCTTAAAGAGAGTGCTCAGGTTGCAAAGCAGCAGCAGCATCACGACCCCTCCCCTTCCGCTCCTCTGTAGCTGCTAGCTCTACAGGTAGGATAAAGCATCAGCTTGGAAGACAAAGGTTACTCCACAGTGGCAGTCAATGGGAGACATACAGCTAAGTGTTTACGCTAGGGAACTGATGGAAGCAGAATAACCCAGGCTGAAGTTAGCAGTAAATCTGAGAACAGAGGAGGTTGGTTTTAATTGGATGGAGCATCACCAGCCTTATCATGAGGAACAGAAAACAGAGATACTTTCATCTGAGCTACAGTTGAACATAAATGCCCTGCTTATAATAGAAAACTAGTGCTTGTTGTAGTGAAAACCGGTGCACTTAAAGAAGCTAAACACAATAAATGGTCCTTAGGAACAGGGGTTCCCGAACCGGGGGTCAGGACCCCCCAAGGGGCAACAAAACACTGTCGGGGGTTGCAAGATGATGTTTACAATTATTTCGATGTGTTCCCTGAGGTAAATAGAGGGCCAAAATTTATCTTGAGATTTCCCTTGTAATACGAAAATATACCATAAATTATGTAAATATTTTATTTAAATCGATAAAAATAGTACAGTAAATGTAAGATTAAATTATAAAATGCACAACTATAATTACAATTTAACTGGACATAACATGTCCAATTAACATAATTAATATATCTAAAATAATGGTATTAAAAATTAATGCAATAACCTCAGTAAATGGGTATTTAAAGACAGAGTGAAAAAAGAAAAAAAATATTATTTTTGGGTTCAAGGGGTGAAAAGTTTGGGAACCCCTGCTTTATATGATCGTATAGTTTATCAGTCCTGCAGGCAGTCCAATCCTAAATAATACAGTTTTCCTTAATATACTGGGAACATTTACATCATTGTTGTGTTAGTAAGACATATAACTAGGTCCTCCTCTCTCTTATGTCCTCTTCTGACTCTAAAAACACAGCTCTGGATTGTTAAAAGGTCTTATTTTTTAAAGAAAAAAGAAAAATTGCAATCACTATTTAATTATCTCTTATATCTCTGAATGTTATGTCTAACAGGTAATATCATGTACACTAAACTGAGGATATATATGAGGATACAATTCGAAAATAAAAAAACAAATATACCACTTTATATAAGGTATTAATAACTGAAATTAACAGAAATGAAATTAATAACAGGAGAAAAGATGAATATGATGCTCTATGTTATATTTTCCACTCTTCAAACAGGTTAGTTTCAGCTTAGTTTGGGCTAGATAGTTGAAAACAACTGATATGCTGTGTATTTTTAAGTTAAGGATGTAGTAACATGCATTGTGCAATATTTAGCCATAATAGCTTTGATTAGTAAATACTTTATATTTGCTGCAGTATTTTTGCAGTGTCAGTTATCTTTGACCTCCCATAAAAAGTCAGGGTTCTCCTTTGCCCCTCACTCATCATTCTCTGCTGCTGCCACTAAAATAATCCATAGCTGCAGACCCAATACAGATGTATTTACTCTGCAGGCTGCTGGTTTGTTAGGTTTAAAGTTTAATTTCCTTTCCAGATTTTCTTCTGGTCTCTGGATTCTGTTATTTTTCACCTTATGAAGTTAAATCTGATGACTGTTTCAAAAGCAAACTTTCTGCTGTTTTTACGTCTACCACATATGAACTTAATAATATAGCAATGATAAAAACTTGTTGATCATGATGAGAAATATATGATGGTGAGATTACCGATGCAGCAGGGGGTAGCGGGGAGTCTGAGCAACAGCAGCCCGGATAGGGGCGCAGACAGCGGCTGGAGCTGTTCTGATGAAAGGCTGATAGTGGATAAACCCAGACAGCTGACGGACTTGAGGAGGACTGGTTCCGATAGATCGGGACAGAGGCCTCAGCAGCCCTGGTGTAAAAACAGAAAAACAACATATGAACACAGAGCAGGAGAAAAACAGCTTTTCCCCATCCCGCAACTAAAAATTACCGCGGCCAGAAAGCAGACTGTTTTATATTTGACAATAACGGCATTAAACGATTGATTAATGTTTCAGATAAACATAGTAAATAATAAAAACACCAGAAGCTCACCTGACAACCTTCTGACCGCGGCCGCCGCCATGTTTTCTGCAA